TGCTGCTCCTAGGATCCTGTCGCCATGCTCCAGTAGCTTTCCTGAATACCACTCTAGGAAGAATTTTCCATATTCACTGTTCCATGTTCCATCATTTTGGAAAAATCCAGTATCCTCAGGAAATTGGTTGTACTTTCCTGAGTCATGAGGCCCTCCCTGGCCCCAGTCATCCTTTCCTGCCGCCTTGGCAGATGCTGCCAATGAAGCTCTCATGTACTGTGTTGACAAAAAAGAAGTTAGTTTATTTTTTCCAGCTTCTGAAGGTCTTTCTATTTTTTTCTGAGATTTACTTATGTAAGGAAAAACGATTTTATTAATATCTCTGACAATAGATGCAAAAAGTTACCTTGTCATAGTTCTGGAATTCTCCAATTCCAGGAAATCTCCAAGTACCATTGCTTTCCGGATAGGATGGATATCTTAGCTCCCCACACGGACCCAATCCCACTTGAATCTCCTGTAGAAGAAAATAGAATGTCAATTTCAAGTTTTCCTACCATTTTAGCTTGGAAAATATAATAGGAGTATAACACCCAAGGGTGTGGCCTAGTGGCCAATGAAATATTTTGAGAACCATGAGGTTTCAGATTCAAATCCTAGCGGAGATAAAAACACTAGGTTATCTTTTGCATGCTGTGTGTTTATTTTTCTAAAGCTTGTGCTTGTTCTTTTCAGTTACTGTTGCTTTAGAGTTTGGTAGATTAGTAGGAAGTCTCCTATTGAAGTAAATAATATTGGTTATGTGATTGTATAGCAGAAGTCTTACCACTATGACATCTCCCAAGTAATCGTTGAATCTTTCTCTGAAGCTCCTCATATAGTCAGCGTATACCTGAATGGGTGTCCTTCCATTGAGTACTGGTAACATATCACAACCTAAGGAAATATACTCTGGATTTCTCCTGCCTGATCTATCTGTGTAGACGAGATCTGGATTCTTCCCGATATCTTCAAGTACCCACGGAGGTAGGGGAATACTGCAAAATTCACTACAATTTTTAGCGACAGTTTGATTTCTTCTAGAACTATGATTCTGAATAGCGAGAAGAAATTCCAGTTTCACTTGAAGTATTCACTTGTAAGCTATTAAGTATTACTTTGGATTGCAGCAGACTGTCTTTTGCCAAAGATTATAATTTTGTTAACCATTTCATGCAAGGACTGAGAACTTGAAGAAAGCTGAGATTCTATAGGGGTATTGGATTATTTGAGAAAAATAATAATTGTCTATTCCCTTTAAAAGCTTTGGGAAACACTACTAAGATGACAGGAATTGCCTTACTGGTGTTGTGATTTGTGAATATGAGAACAGAAATGGTAAACTTCCTAGTTTATCATAACCTAACTAGATATTTCATGATCTATGCAAATAATGGTGTATTACTACAGTAGATTGTTGGGGTTGAAGATTTACTCTCTCTATAATACTAGCAGCTTATTAGAGCCAAATGGAAATAGAGCAGAATACAGATTGTGATAAAGCCAGATATGGTGTAATTGAATATTTATTCAAGCATAATACATAAACTGCATTTTATTAGTACCTGCAAGAGTCTCCAACATTTCCACCACACTGGTGAAAAGACATGACAACTTGAAGTTTCAAGCCATGTTCTTTACACATCTTGACAAGCTCAGCATAACCTTCCCAGTTATACTTATGGGGTCCATCTTTTTCAACCAAACCCCACCAAGCATCCACCATTACTCCTTCAACTCCAGCACTTCTCAAGGCAATCAAACTCGCATTCATCAATCGCGGCTTGTTCAATTTCCCTCCCATGGTTACGGTATCAAGTGGCAGCATCACAAAAACAGGTACTGCTGTACTGTTATTGCTGTGAGTAGTTGTTAGCACATGAAGTTTTTCTCTTTTCTCATTTTTCCTCCCTTCTATGGGATTACCGATAACTCTCTCATGAGAGAGGTGAGCTTCTTGCATGGAACTCTTTGTTATGAGAAGGCAAGATGGCTTCGTTTGTGCAAACGAAACCATGCCTAAGAAATCATCAGGTGTTTTAATACCTTTGGTTTCTTTTATATTGATAAAAGAAGTTGAAGAATGAACTGCTAAAGTCATTTGTTTTTTTTTAAAATAGAAAATGTAAGACTTGCTGTTTTTGATAATAGAAGATGTAAGAATTGATGAAGTTGTGGTTGTATACTTGCATATTTATAAAGCAAGATCCTGAAGGTTTCAGGTGCATGATTCATAAAGGAGACAAATTTGGTGGGCTCTATTTAGATATTCCAAAAAAGGTGCAAAG